AGGTTAGACACTGTTATAAATTTGATTACCGGGTACTGACAGGATGCTGTTAGAACCACCTGACCCTACCAACAGTGTTGCAATTCAGACACAGCATTTTTTTTTTACATTTTTGGTGTCTCCATTTCTGTTAATTTTTTTTTTTTCTGTGGGATTTCCACATTAGTAAACTGTTTTACCTACAGTATTGTAAACCGATATGGGAAAAGAAATACTCTTAACTTAAAATTTTAAACGGAAAATCTTGAAACTGGCAACTGTGTGTAGATGACCTGACTCGCATCATATTATGATTTTGATGGATTTTAATGAAAATATTCAGAAATATGGTATCTTAGTATTTATTCAAGTGATTTAGGATAGAATATTATTGTAATACAACAGTTTTTTAACTGAAAACCATTCGAAAAGCGATTATGGTAAAATCTTTTGAACAACGAAAGAAAGCTTAAGTCATTCTTTTAGTCACGATTTTATCCCACTTTCCACTGTAATACGCACATCATTTCAGCAAAATATTTTAATGAAAATACCCGGTATTTAGAAATACGGTATCATAGTTTTCTTTTGTTTCAAATTTAATTAACGAAGATTGGTGTTTCAAATGTAATGAACAAAAATTTATGTATCTATAAATAAACTTCAAAAAATTAATACTTTATGTTTTACATAGTCCTGTGCTACCATACCATGCATTTGGCTACTTTGGGCTTGCTATGATGACGCAAGAGATCTGCCCTGGCAACTGTACCGACACTGACAGCTGGTGGTGCGTCGTTTCCATTGTTTACTGGTAGTTACTGGTAAATATTTTTCAACCTAACGAAACTATTACCAGTTTAGAGGTCTACCCCCAATTTTTTGCCCAAAAATTTGGTCTTAAAAACTCGAACTACACACAGGTATATACGGTAAATAAGGACATGGGGGGCCAGGGGTGTTTTTAGGGGGCAGGAAAAATACGCGGATACTTTACATTCACAGGTATCTCTTTTACCTAACCCCCGCGTATGTTAAGGGCCGACTGTAATTGGTTCTATGTTTACATTCGTTTCCAGTGGAGTAAATATCAAGAAAGTTGTGCTCTTGAATATTTTTGCATTTTTTATATTAAAATTATTGGTCATTCTGAAATTTAGTTCACATATTGATAATATACAGTACAGTGCAGAAATTATTATAAAACATGAAGAAGGCATTAGAACCAGTGCACTCTAAAGAATATGGCATGTCATCATCGACTGCCTCTACAATTAGCCGTTTGATACCGGTATGTAAATAAAGCTGCCGGGAATATGACAGACACACCTCAAGTAAGTTAAAATACAGTATTCTATTGCTTTTTATTTATTATTGTACAATATACTGTACAGTACTGTATTTAGTTTATATTTAATGTACAGTTAACCCTCGCTTTACGCGGTCCCACATTCCGCGTTTCCACGTTTACTCGGTACCCTGCCGAAACCGGAATGCTCACATTCCGCGGTGCGTGTACCCCTTTACGCGGAGAGGGGCTGGCGAGCTGCGCCTATTTTGGATCCAAACCTCCCGCCATCTCTCCCGCCCTCTCCCGCCATCCGCCATGTTGTGTAAGCGGCGCAAGCAGGGTGCGCACAAGGTCGCCCAGTCATCAAAACATTACCGAGTTCTTCACCCGCCACCCACCACAGCCGGCCCAAGTCAGTGATAGTGATAATTATAGTGAGGATATGAACTTATATGGACTTGAGGGGTTTGACAAAGAGGCCCTGCAAGCCTCTGTGATGGATAGTGATACAATTGATACAAGTGATACATGTGAGGGCCAATAATCTGCCCTCTGCCTCGGAACCAACCCCCCCATCCCCGTGTGCCCAGCCATCTTTTCTACTAATGTAAGTGTTAAAAAACCTAATATTATTGATATTTCTCTTAATTATTAATTGTGTGTGCATACCATCATAAAATTAAGAAGTTATTTTTACTACAACGTAGGTATTGTGTCTGAAAAAGTGGAGTTTGGGGGTTGGCCGGGTCTCTATTTCAATTAATCCCATATGTTATGTTGTTCACTTTACGCGTTTCTCACTTTCCGCGGTACCCTGTGGGTTGAATTAACCTCGTAAAGTGAGGGTTCACTGTATATATATATATATACTAATTATACAGTTATATTGATAAGTAAATAACATAAGTGGAAGCAAACATGATGGCACCTGTGAATGACATTGCATGCATGGCAACGCTTGACTGCCTCCAATATCAAAGTTGTGTATCAGATAGTATCCCAAAAGTTTTCACTGGGAAATGTGGCACCACCGCAGTGTGGAAGGCGGGAATGTGACGCTCTTTTCTTCACCACACACTCAACTTTGTCTCTGGTTTTGCGGCCTCCACACACCCCTCTATTTATCTGGGCCCATAGGAACCCTTTGCAAAGTCCACGGAACCATAGCTTAACATGCGTAAACTACATCAGTGACCAGTTAGCGTATGACAATGGGTAACATAATTTACTTCAATGGCCATTAATGGGTTAAAAAACCTTGGCTTTGGCTTCATGACTTTTAGATGGCTTCAGCTTCATGACTTTAAATGGATGGCTCTGGCTTCGAAGCTGGAGGCTTGGCTTCGGCCCCATGTCTGTAGGTAGTAGGCATTCAATCATTAGTGTTTATCATAACTAGAATTTCAATATGCAGGAGTTTGAATATTTTAATCAAGCTTATTAAAACATAAGTTACAAAAGGTATATTAACCAAAATAATTTCCACAAAAGGTTTGGTTGTACAGGGTACTTGTCGGTTAAGGATAGATGCTGCTCTTGTCCTTAAATCATCTGCTGGTCAGTAATATTACAGCCAGGTTGTGGCATGCAGTGCTGGGTCCCAATTAAAAATGGGGGATCTATGTATTCTTACAAACATAAGTTTTTGTACAGGTTTATGAGAATTCTTGAATGTATTGGTGTGATAATTAAGTTCAAATGACTAAACCCTCATTCTCATTAAGCTGTGATGGTTGTATTTCCTGGGGAATTCATTCCCCAGCTTTTCCTCCACATGATCTCTGAACACCACATTATTACTTATACTGTACAGTATTCAGTTCATAACTAATCTTATCACAAAAGGTGGCTGGTTTTAAAGATTGCTATCTTTTATAAACCAAGAATAGCTAGCTGTTCAGATGCTTTTTATACTAGTTTTATCGCTCTACTGTATTCCCTACACAATTCTTATAAATTATAAAGGCAGCAATGCATTTTCAGAGTTATATCAAATTAATAAAATAAGACGTACGCACACTTTCCCTGGGCAGCCACGGGGTTGATTGTAGGTTGGTTCCACCCCAGCTCTGCCCTGATCTGGATGTAACCAATTATCGTTGTATGCCCACCACATCCTGTGACATCTTGTTTTTCTCAACAGCCAATCATAGCTACTGTATACATTGTTCTGTAAGTACGGTATACACGTACAAATCCAACTAAAGAACGTCTTCAGGAACGGAACCCGTTCTAAACCCGGCGACCCCCTGTAATGGACTTCTTTTTATCCAGATACTTTACTGTATCTTTACTACAGTGATATCCCCGTTAGCCTGAATAATTGGTGCAGAGCACTTCCGGGAATGAGAGATTTCCGGATAACGAGACAACTCTCTCGAACCCGGAAAAATATCCCTCATCCCTGGAATTTTCCTGGAAGTTCCAGAAATTGCCCGTTACATCATCTCTCAAACCCGGAATAATATCCCTCTTCCCCGGGATTTTCCGGGTAATGGAAAATTTTTCTCAGAATTTCAAAATACGCCTAATTTTCATCTCTTAAACCCGGAAAAAGTCCCCCCATCCCTGGAATTTTCCGGAAAATGTGACCCAAAGAAAATTTCAATTCCGGCTATCGGAGAGTTCCGGGTTTGAGGGATTCCGGCTAACGGAGATATTGCTGTACTGTATGTGGTAACATTTTGCACTGTTGACCAGATTTAGTGCTGCAGCTAAAAGATTTTACAGAAAGGTGATACTGTATAAAAAAAACACTGAGCTTACATAAGTGTTAGACTTTTAAACACACTAATTCAGGTACATACTGTATCGGGCAACTGACTCGGTGACTGGTGTAGTGATGAGTCTCTTGTCCTAACATGAATTTCAGGTGTAAGTTACATGGAGATTGAAGGATTAATAATCATAAAGAGATGCATTATTTTAGCATACCGATAGTTTCATTACAGTATTACTACAGTAAAAGTCCAAAAATCCGGATGCCAGAAATCCGGACCACCCGAGAATCCGGACTTTTCGATTTTTTTTTTAGCTGGCTTTTGTGTGTATGTGCGCATGCATGAGCGCCACAGCTGCACAGCGACAACAAGCAACCACGCGGTCGGCACTTTAAAACGAGCTCCTAAAGTAGATAAACTTCGTTGTGTGAAGAGAAAGAAGAACACGTTGAAATTGAGTGACAAACTTGAAATAATTAAGAAACTAGAACGTGGTGTGTGCAATACTTTTCTAATGGAAACATACGACATTGGAAAGTCTACAATTTATGATATAAAAAAGGCAAAGAATAAAATTATAGAATTCACAGCTTTTTCTTTAAAACTGCTCATTTTGATAAATGAAGCATGCTACATTTGCTAATGAATAAACTATCAAAATGTACCTGTTCATCTCTTCTTTATTCCTCCTTAAATTTGAATTTTAAAAGTACTGCCTGAGAATCCGGAAAATCCGAAAATCCGGACCGACCCAATCCCCAAGCAGTCCGGATTTTTGGACTTCTACTGTATTGTTTTGTGGGGAGAATTTCGGGGTTTTCACACATAAATCAAAGAATGGGACTTATCATAACAGCAAATTTCAGTATATTAACTCATAAATTGGGGCTACCTTTCCTTTACAGTTATTTATGTATTTTAATTATTGTGCAAGATTTTGTTTGTTGTGGGTCAGTCGAGATTTGTGTATTTTTTATTGAACAGTAAATTTTTTCTCTCTTTCTTTGAAGGCAGTGAACCAAGCAAGACGAAGTGGTGTCCAAATAGAAACCAGCTCTAAATGTAAGTACTGATTTTGGTTACTTAACAAAACAATACAATAATGTTAGTATAAAAACAATTGTTCGCTTCAAATATAGGTCATTGATGCTACCCATGTGTTTGAGCACAGAGTAGAATCTACCTGTACTGTATTTAGCAGGACATCAGTCAAAGGAAACTCATGTGTGGTATACCCATCAAGTTTATGGATGTCAACCCAGGTTTAAACTCCTGGTTGGCACTAAAAAATAGCTAGTACAGTACTGTACATCTCCCCCATCATGATAATTGCCCTTGATATGGCAGTTAGAGGCATTTTCCCTAAAGGGCTTAGAGGTGAGCAAGTCTTGGTGCTTTAGCTGTTTGCACTTGTAGACCTTCTTTTGTCCATCAACAGCTACACAAGAGTTCTAATAAAAAACTAGAGTCCAGCTGTGCTCCCTGCTTGACATTAGGTCAACTCCTGGATAGCTCTTCTTCACAACAGCTAGGTTGTACAGGTACTGAATGTAGCACTTAGGGATATATAATAGGACATCTCTACTCACCTCTTGCATTATATCACACAGTGCAGTAAACCATCCAGTTTGACGACTAATTGGTGCAAAAAAAAAAACTCGCCAAACCAGAGGGCTTAATCCAATGGGAAAAAGCCTAATTGGTATTGAGGGGCCAGCTGAAGTCTCAATTTTTTCCTATTTTACCCATATATAACCTTTACTTTATTGCTGAAAGAGAATGAATACAGTACAGTCATCCCTTGGTTATCACGCCTAATTGGGACTGCGCCGAGTGCGTGATAACGAAAAATGCAATAACGAAAGTACAGAACCTATGGGATTAATTCTAATTGGTTCCAGGCACCCAAGACCCAACCCCAATTTTCCCATTGTACAACCATTTAGACCAGGGGTGTCAAACTCATGGCCCGTGGGCCAGATGTGGCCCTTGGGATGGTCAGGTGTGGCCCGCGGGATGACGGTAAAATTAACATCCGTGAAATTATGAAAGAAATAGATATAATCATGTTTATTTAGTAAAATGAATTTTACATACTTAAGATCAGACAAACCCAGATGAGGTATTCCTGGTAAGCCAGGTAAGGCAATGTGGGAAGCTGTAAACTTCAATCCTGCAAATATGTGATATAGCACTTGTGTTGGCCCTGAAGAGGGTAACTAAAATAAGAATTGGCCCTCGAAAGGTATTGAGTTTGACACCACTGGTGTAAGACTTACATTTTTGTGGTTTTGGGCCAAAAATTAGATTTTGCTGAAAATCACAGTATGGGTACTCCTGAGCTTGCTGATTATGAATATGTGGTTCACGGCTCAATTGCAGAGTAATTAGTGGCCAAACCAACCCTTGAAAGATTTTACTGACATTTTGTAATGCTAATCACTGTACTCATCAACTATGGGTTTCCAAAGGTGTGATTTAGGGTTTGTGTGTTATTCTGAGAGTACTTAATTAGTTAAACCCCTTAAATTTCAATTCTGAGAAAAAAGTATATTTTGGTCAAAATTTTTGTAAGGTGTAAGACTTACATTTTTGTGGTTTTGAGCCAAAAATTAGATTTTGCTGAAAATCACAGTATGTGTTCTCCTGAGCTTGCTGATTATGAATATGTGGTCCACGATTCGATTGCAGAGTAATTAGTGGCCAAAATGACCCTTGAAATATTTTACTGACATTTTGCAATGCTAATTATTCATCAACTATGGGCTTCCAAGGTGTGATTTAGGGTTTTTGTGTTATTCTGAAAGTACAGGTTGACAATCCCTTATCCGAAATCCTTGGGGCCAGACATATTTCGGTTTTCGGAATTTTTTGTCTTTCGGAATGGTTAGGTTGTTAGGTTAGTTTCAGTTCAGTTCAGTTAGGTTTGGCATAAATGAAATTGTGGGATAAATATAGTCCATAAATACTCTAGTACAGTTTATTTGTAAGGAAAACATCCAGTAAAACTTCAAACAGATACAGTAAAGGTACATTACAGCTGGCTTGTTTATCATGAAGAAGACACATCAGTGTTGTCGTCATCAAATAGGAGTCGGACATCTGAAGATGGGCTAGGAACAGGACTCTCAAGTGATGACTCAACACTAGGACAGATGGTCTTTTTAAAGGCTTCTTCTAGTGTCATCTGTCTCATTAACAGTGGTTTCTGTCTAAGCAGTCTCTCTTTAATTGAATATAAACTGCCATAATCTCGTGCTCACTGATAAATGCACGTTGTTCAAGGGCAGTAATTAACTGATCACAGGTTTTCACCACATCATCTATGGAGACTTTTTCACCTGTGTTCACAATTTCATCATCATCATCACTACTATCCTCAGGCTTATCTTTATTTAGCACCATTTCAGCTATTTCCCCATCACTCAATGAATGCACAACAGGTGCAACATTGTCAATGTTCAGCACTTCTTCAATGTCGGCTTCCTCCAACTTATTTACACTTTTGGAAGATAAACCTTTGGCGTAAGTGAGGAGATTTGATCTCATCATCTTCTCTTTAGTGACACGAAATCCTTCAAAGTCTTCATCTGCATCTTCATTTACTTCAAACATCGTTGTAGGCCAAACTTGTGCCAAGCATTTGTTAATGTTGGTTTATCAACAGCATTCCAAGCATTAGCAACTGAATAAATGGCATCCTTAACATTGAACTCTTTCGTGAAGCTTTGGATTCCTATGCCTCTGTTGACTGCATCAAGCATACAGTTAAAAAAAAACATCTTTATATTTGCTCTTCATGGAGCGTAAAATTCCTTGGTCATAAGGCTGTATTAAAGACGTCACATTGGGGGGGAAAGTAAATGCCAAAAACGTTACTTTTCACAAGAAGTTCAGCAGGAGGATGTGCAGAGCAGTTGTCGAGGAACAATAGAATTTTACAGTTTGCTTCCAGTCCAGCTTCCCTGCAATGAGCTCGTGCTGCTGGTACAAAGTGATTATTGAACCAGTCAGAAAATATTTCTTTGGTTACCCATGCTTTCTTGTTGGCATAATAATGCACAGGTAAATTGTGTACTGTACACCTTTCAGGTATCTTGGTCGTCGGCTTTTTCCAATCACTGCCAACTTTAACTTGTGTGTGCCTGCAGCATTGGAACACCCAAGAACAGTCAACCTGTCCTTAGCATCCTTAACACCTGTTGGTGCTCTCTCATCAGCCATTGTTAACGTTTTTCTAGGAACGTTGCGCCAGTACAGAGCTGTTTCATCAGCATTGTAAATTTGTTCACAACTAAGGTTTTCATCAGATATAATTTTGGCAAATTCGTCAATGTAATGTTCAGCTGCTTCATGATCAGCAGAAGCTTTTTCACCACAGATTTTCAGATATTTTATACCATGACGCTTCTTAAATTTCTGCAGCCAACCTTCTAAATATTCACACTCACCATCAATGTTCAGTTCTTCAGGGTATATTTTAGCTTGTTTCATGACCACCAAACCAGTCAGTGGCATACGTTCAGTTCTTCGTTGTCGAATCCCCTCAATCAGCACGCGGTCAAGATCTTCATTTTTTGCCCTATGCAATGTTTTTCTGTTTTACATTATTTTTGGGTCATCACTGTCAGTGTAAAACTTCAACAACTTGTCTTTCTGTTTCTTTAAGTCATATACGGTGGTAGTTCCCACTCCATATTTTTCAGTAAGATGCCGCACAGGTACACCACGATCAAGCTTCTGTAACAACTCCACTTTCTGTGCTATCGATAATGAGAGACGCTTCCTTTTCTTCTCACTGTTATCCATAGGGGTATCTGAAGCTCTTTTTGGCATTTTCAGTGAAATTACCGGTAAACAAAATTACATAAAAATATAAGAGCAGCAGACGCAAATGTGTGACTAGTAGCAATACTGAGACACAAGTGACGCCTCACTCACACCCGCTGCCCGGTAGCGTCAGGTCCAAGTCATGTTCGATTTCACACAGTGATGTAACACGAAAATTTTTTTCGGTTTTCAGAGCTTTTCGGTTTTTGGAATGCCGGATAAAGGATTGTCAACCTGTATTAATTAGTTAAACCCCTTAAATTTCAATTCTGAGAAAAAGTATATTTTGGTCAAAAATTTTGTAAGGTGTAAGACAGGGGTGTCAAACTCATGGCCCGCGGGCCAAATGTGGCCCTTGGGATGGTCAGGTGTGGCCCGCGGGATGACGGTAAAATTTATAATCCTGTGACATTACGAAAGAAATAGATATAATCATGTTTATTTAGTAAAATGAATTTTACATACGTACAGTACTTAAGATCAGACAAACCCAAATCAGGTATTCCTGGTAAGCCAGGTAAGGCAATGTGTGAAGCTGTAAACTTCAATCCTGCAAATATGTGATATAGCACTTGTGTTGGCCCTGAAGAGGGTATCTAAAATAAGAATTGGCCCTCGAAAGGTATTGAGTTTGACACCACTGATTTAGACCCACTAAATATATAGATAATGTTATGGTAAGTATCAAAAAAACACATAGGCATGGCTAAGTTTATTACAAAGTGATGAAAAGGGTACGCTCAATATTGTAGTCCACAAAACATGTAGCTATGCTTTCTTTATTTGAGTCTCCCGTCTGAGTAGTCCATTTTCTCATTGCTTCAGGACTCCTGAGTCCTCCGTTTTCTCTCAATCTTAGAGTGCACCCGAGACTTCGTTATTCCTTAGTAATGACACAGAATTTGAAATTGCAACTGGGGTTGCAATTGTAGAGGCAACTTAGATATGTCTGATTACAGCAAATGTGTTATTGTCAATTTGTAGGTGAAAGGTTTTATCCTCAATGGATGTAGGTGAAGTAAATGGGTAAAAACACCTGGAGGCAACTGCGTAATAACAAAATTCTCGGCTTGAAAATGCGCTATAACAGCAGGTGTGCAGATTTTGATGGAAGCGTGATAACGAAAATCGCGATAACCAAGGGATGACTGTAATTAGTTAATCAACATAAACATAGAAAACTAACCTTAAAATTAAAGTTAAGATGCTTAATGTACGTACACTAAGCCGGTATCCGAGGCTGGGTAAGTAAGGCTCCCTGCTTCCAGCCTCTCCCCCCAAGCTTCAGCTCTCCAGCCTCTCCCAAGCCTCTCCCCCCAAGCTTCCAGCCCTCCCCCCAAGCTTCCAGCCTCTCCCCCAAGCTTCCAGCCTCTCCCCCAAGCTTCCAGCCTCTCCCCCCCAAGCTTCCAGCCTCTCCCCCCCAAGCTTCCAGCCCTCCCCCAAGCTTCAGCCTCTCCCCCAAGCTTCCAGCCTCTCCCAAGCCCAGCCTCTCCCCCCAAGCTTCCAGCCTCTCCCCCCCAGGCTTCCAGCCCCCAAGCTTCCAGCCTCCCCAAGCTCCAGCCTCTCCCCCCAGCCTCTCCCCCCCCCCCCTTCTCCCCCCCAGCCTCCCCCCAAGCCTCCAGCCCTCCAAGCCCAGCCCCCCAGCCTCCCCCCCAAACTCAGCCTCCCCCCCAAAGCTTCCAGCCCCCCCAAGCTTTCCAGCCCTCTCCCCAAGCCAGCAAACTCAGCCTCCCCCAAGCTTTCCAGCCCCCCCAAGCTTCCAGCCTCCCCCCCAAAGCCAAGCCTCCTCCTTCCCAGCCTCCCCCCCCCAGCCCCAAGCCTCCAGCCCCCCCCAAACTCCAGTCTCCCCCAACCTCCAGTCCCCAAATCCTCCAGTCTCTCCCCCCCAAATCCTCCAGTCTTCCCCCAAATCCCAGTCTCCTTCCCCCCCCTCAAATCCTCCAGTCTCAAATCCTCCAGTCTCCAATCCTCCAGTCCCAAACCTCCCAGTCTCCCAAATCCTCCAGTCCTCCCCCCCACCCCCCCAACCTCCAGTCCCCCAAATCCTCCAGTCCAGTCCCCCAAATCCTCCAGTCTCCCCCCAAATCAAATCCTCCAGTCTCCCCCAAATCCTCCAGTCTCCCCCAAATCCTCCAGTCTCCCCTCCCCCACCACTGCCTCTGCCTCCGGCACTACTAGATCAAAGCCTTCAAAATAAAAGTCCTTTGGCTGGCTCATTCATATCCACAATGTTCTTATCCTCAAATGAGTACTTTTTCATTTTCTTCTCAACTTGATACCCACGAGAATTTTTCGTCTTTGATTTTACCCCCATCATTTGAACCGACTGGGCGCTCAGACAGTCTTTCACCGCCACTATCATCCCCTCCAATACCCCCAGGTACTTTTGAGGCCATTAATTCGCACGAGAACACCGTGGCAAGCGAGAATGAATATAAAAAAGTACACAAAGGCCAAAGTCACTCAAACAAACAGTGGGAATGTGGATTGATGCGGTCAAAATGGCTGCCTGAACAGCTGACTGGCGCTTTGTGCTGGTAAATACTCACCAGTAGTATTAAGCGAAATTTATCTTGCATTTATTATTCTACAATTATTAGTTGTGATTGCATTTAAATTTAAACTCTCGCCAAAGGTGAGGGTTTGGTCTCCAAAATGTAGGGCAGGGTACTTTGCATTTTGGCCGCCAACTTCGAATTTGCCAGTACGTAGTACTGTACAGTACAGTACTCCCTCTTTATCGACGGGGGTTACGTTCTGTAGACGACCGTCGATAAAGAAACCGTCGATACCGTGATGGTTACGTAATTTTTCTAACTATTATTAGCATATGTTGAATAAATGTACCTTTAAGCATTAATGCGTTTCCTTTACACATAACCTTAAATAATAGTGTATTAATAATAATATAATAAGTGGACAAAAATACTAGCAAACTTACTAGCAAAAGTTGAAAATCAAAGACTGTTGCCCATGCGGCTTGGCTGATGTCTGTGTTCAGGGAAGGCGGGCCGCGGGTAGACGCTAGTCACGCCACTAGTGCCGCCTAGCGGCGAAAGTACAAACAAGGCCCGCAGAGTTCAAATAAAGCCAAAATAAAAATCCGTCGATAAAGAGGGAGTACTGTACTACTGTATTTTACATCGCTAAACTGAAATATTGCGAAGTGGATGATGTTAAACGACAGATACCTGTATAGGGCAACCCAGAATTCTAATTAGCTATAAACTTCCTGGATTCGAATTAACTAAAGCTCAATGAAGATGATGATTGGGAGACTGAATTTAACTAGAAAGATACGAGATGTTCCAACTCGTTTTCATGAACTGTGAATCAATTGGATATGTTTGGTCAGACCAGTTCGGGTTAGCGACTGTGTTTGATACCAGTAAGAAACGGTAGATTATAAACCTGATACAAACATTAATATATGCAATATATGACAATATTGTAGTCCTTTACATACAGTATACGTATTATACATCATATAAAAGTAACATGTAAATACAGTAAGTAGGAATATTAGCTAAACATGGGAATACTGTATGTTACAGTAGTGTCCAGTGAGGCTACTTTTTTAGTTTTACTTAGAATCTTTTTTCCCATTAACAATACTTTTACTGTACATAAGTAGTGTTTTTCAGTGTTTTGTGCACCACTGTTGGGAGCTATCTAGATAAGGAGATTGCAGAGGGATATTGTGTGGTGTTGGGGTGTTATAAGGTTTGTGTGATTATTCCTTACTGTAGCCAAACTCAATCATCCTCACATAGAGGTGCATTAGGTTGTAATTTGCTTCCTCCTCCCTGATCTTGCTGACTCTGGAGTCATGAGTTGACTTGTACCAGTAGCAGAATGTACTACTGTTTTACCAAAGATTGATTATGGTAATCCCATTTTGTCGACAAGTCATGCCATGGAGAGTGAGAACTGTTTTTCATCCCCTGAATTTTATATTTATTATTTGCTTGACAGATGGAGCTGCAAGCAACAAGCAGCATGGCACATCCATGAACACAGCCAAGCTTGACCGTGAGACAGAGGAGCTGAAGCATGAGAAGATTTCACCAGATGTAGGCAGACTTATCCAGCAAGGCCGCCAAGGAAAAAATTGGACTCAAAAGGACCTAGCCACTGTGAGTATTTCTCTGAAAACTCGTGACTTATTTAATCTTCATCTGCATCAGATGTTGAATTTTTTTTAGTTCCTGTACAATAAACCCTCACTATCTGTAGGGTTTACAGTCCTGGAAAATACTGAGGATTGTGATTCCATAGATAGTGAAGTAAAGAGCTTGTGGGAAAAATGTTAGTGTCCTGGCAGACATGATAACTCCTTAACTTAATCTCGTATTTACTGTATATTAAACAATATACTGTACAGTATATCATTTTGCTTAACAATGGGTTTATCAGGAACGCATCCCAATCGTTAAATGAGGGAGACTTGTACTGTATCCACGTTTATTCCACACACTACACTCTTTGGAAAACAATGAGTGTGGCTATCAGTAAAGTTCACAGCCAGTCAGCCATTCTACTGTTTCATACAGTCAGATGTTTTGTCTGTGTAGAAACTAAATTGGTAGAGTAGGACGATATTTACCACCCCTCACAACTTTTAACTTATCCTCGTAGGTTTTGGTTGAAAACGGTGCTCTTAAATCTTCAACAGTATTTCCCATTGTGTAAGAAGAGTTAAATTAATTTAAACTTCTAAAATTACATCCGCAGTGAAATTTAAACACTGACTGGAAAGTAGAGCACAAAAACACCGTCACAGTAAATGGATAAAAAAAAGAATGTAACCACACTCCACAACGGGCAGTGTTACTGAGATGCTGCACACCTTAATTCGTTTATAATCCCCATCCCTCCACCACCTGCCTCAGACCCTTCCTTATCCTCCCTGCCCCAAAGTGTGTGGTGATATCTCAGCACTTGCTGTAGGTTAAATGTCTAATGTCATAGATAATTATTTGAATTAAATCAAATAATTAAATCATTATTTCGTCTCCTTTTCTCTGAATGTACGCCCCTGATTAAATCTGCAAAGATTATTTTTAATACTATACTATTTAAAATAATAGTTGGCCCATGAAGAACTCGTATACAGGGCCCACCCCACCCCCCAATTCGTTGGGGCTAGGTTTTCAAAATGGCTGCAAATCACCATATCCGCGAATAACATTTGCAGACCGGGGAGACATTTTTACTTGTGGACAAAGAAGTGTATAATCCCTTTGTGTTTGCCCTTATTATTTCTTTTACCTGTGTGGTCCCTCGGTTAATGAACACAATTCGTTCCAGAAGGTCGTTCGTTAACCGAAACTGTTGTTTCAATGGGATTTTGGGTAATTGGTTCCAGCTCACCGAAAATTACATACAAACTAAAAATAAATGCAGTAAAACACACTTACTTTGAGGTGTGCATGTAGAAGGCTCCTGGTTGATGATGATGATGGGAATTAGAAGTGGGGGTGGAGGAGAAGGGAGAAGAGAAGGCAGTGGGGGTGGAAGAGAAGGCACCCCATGCTTCATGCCGCCATTTCACCCATAAAATTTTAAGTTCACTTGGTGTAATTCAAGATTATTTTCTTTAAATCAACACTGCACTGCATTGTATATTGTTAATATGTAAAATAAATTTCAGAATGACCAATAATTGTACTGTAAAAATGTAAAAATAGTTTATGTTCAAGAGAGTCTCAAGCAAGATGTTTCCTCCACTGAGCAGACACAAGCTGACGCCATTCTGGGTGCGTCAAGTGGCTGTTTGGCGCGCTAAAAACTAGTTCCCTGTACTTCAATTATGTTAAGTAATTGTTAAAATGACAAAATTTTAATACCTGTATAAGACTTGGAAAATTATTGAATAGTACAACCTTCTTGATATTTACTCAAATGGTAACGAATTTAAGCCCTAAAACCGATTACTGTATTGGCGGACTAATACTACAGCTGGTGAGCAGGCGAAAGCAGGCAAAAACATGTTAGGAAAAATTTGTAAGGAATTCGTTAACCGAATTTAATATTCTTATGGAAGGTAATTTGTTAACCAAAATTTCATTAACTGAGGCGTTCGTTAACCGAGGGATCACTGTATTGTATATATGTGTGTGTACACACACACACACACACACAAAACACATACAAATAAATAATAATGGGAAAATACTTTCACAAATAATCAGAAACAAATTTATTGAAAATGTGACAGTCTACCCTCAAGTCCGTGCTTTATTAGCACAGATTTGAGGGTAGACTGTCACATTTTTGATAAATGTGTTTGATTATTTGTGAGAGGATTTAAAAATTATTATTTTTTGCATGTATTTTGTGTGTGTCTACGCACACACACATTTACAATACAGGAAAAAAATTACTGCCTCTAGAACGAATGGCTCCCTGTCCCAGCCGCAAAAATTCCGGCAACCTTAAAACTACCCACAGACATTCTTGGGTACATCCAGGGTGTCATCCGTGAACTTGGGGGGCCTCCTGTACAGTACTGTAATTTAAAAAATTTTCTCGCCCCTGCTGTAGAGTATTCTCATGGCCTTTAGTCTAAGAAATTCATTTAATATGTCATTAAAGTTTCATTTCGTAGAGAAGCATTAACACATTTATTACTGTATGTTTCATTAAATAAATTTTTAAAGGTGTAAAGATAAATATTAAACTAAGACAGGTATTCAACTGGTGAAAATGTAGTTCACCCACTTATGCTGTGGGAAATCTTCGTCGTAAACACCTCTCCCAGTGCTGGGGAGAGGAGGGGGGTTGGGTCCTACTGTCTCTCTTAGGTGCTGCGGGGTGGGGTACTGTGGGAGGGGATGCCCTCTCCTTCGTGGAGGAACCTGGCCTTCTACACAAGCTTAGAGTTTCATATATTAATGTTTAAATGGTTTTTACAAAAGTTCTCTTATTTGTTACTTATGTGTTTTTCCTTGTATTACAGTATTTGATTTTAGTCTTTTAAGCCTTTATTTTGATTCAGCGATATATGACCTAAGCTGTTGGGTTGCCAGGGATGTAATTACCACAATCAATCAATCAGTTGTGTTTTACTTTTAAACTGGTTCTGTGAATATAGTAATGTCTCTTCAAAACCTTGTTGTTTGCCCTTTTGTCCATCCCTCACACCTTTATTTTTCCTTTTTTGCTGTATCATGAAATTTCAGAGAAATGGACATTTCAGACTTGAAATACTGACAGGAATTATGGGATATTTAGTCCATGTAATTTCAGTGTTTTACAGAGATAATTTTTTCAGTGCATTTTATTGTTTTAAGAGATATGTATGACAGTCATATTGTGAGTTCGCAAAAGAAAACAATCTTGTCATAGCATATCCTTCCATTCCAGTCAGTGCTAAACAAGTCAGTAAATATTGATGTACAGTGATCCCTCGGTTAACGAGCGCCTCGGTTAACGAGTTACCTTCCATAAGATTCTTAACTTCGGTTAATGAGCAATCCCTCGATTAATAAGTTTTTTACGAGCCGACCTCAACATGTTTTCGCTTGCATTTGGCGGTCTACCAGCTGTAGTATTAGTCCGCCAATACAGTAATCGGTTCTAGGGCTTAAATTCCTTACTATTTTAGTAAATATCAAGTTTATACTATTCAATAATTTTAAAAGTTTTATTTTAAATTTTTTAGTCATTTTAACAATTATTGAACATAATTGAAGTATAGGAAGTTAGTTTTTTGCGCGCCATACAGCCTGTCAACACACCATACAGGCGTCAGTCTGTGCCTTGCTTCAGACTCTCTTCAACTAAACGCTTTTTGTTGAATTTAGGCAATTTTTGGTGAGCTGGAACCAATTACCCAAAAACCTATTGAAACAATGGTTTTGGTTAACAAGTTTTTCGGTTAACGGGCAACCTTCTAGAACGAATTGTGCTCATTAACCGAGGGACCACTGTACTAAGATTTCCAACTGTCCAATAATAATATGCTATAGTTGTATACAAGTGATCGCGGGCACCTTCGTGTCCGGTGAAAGTTTGAATGCTCGTGCTTGGCTAGCGTACAGCGAATGAGGGTGCGCCAAGTCCGTAGACTTGCATGGTTAATTAGGGTGCGCCAAGTCCGTAGACTTGCATCGTTTTCCATCGTAAATAAAATGGTTAATTTATGCCTTCCTAAAGAAACCACCGACATGGGACCAGGTTTGTTCCACTCTACGAATTTTTTTGCGATTTTTCCACCAAGTTTGATGAAAAACGATTGTGCCGTTTCGGCTGCCCAGAACAGATACACACATGGCTAGTCCTATAGTATATTAGACAAGTGATCGTGGGCACTTCGTGCTTGGTGGCGAGTCCGGTGGTTAGTCAGTTTTAGGCCCATCTCACATGACTGACCGACCATCGATGTTCTTTCCGCGCGTGGGTGTTAGTTTTCAATGCGTCTTGTTATTTACGCTGGTGGATGTAAGACCAGCTACCGTCACTGACGCAGCTATGGTTAATTTGGTGTTATTCTTGTTTATAAATGCCTTCTAATCTGTCTCAAGTCTATCTGTCCTGTCTATTGCCATCCCAACTGTCTGTTCGTCTGCGTGGTGTTTGACTATGAGCCCGTCTGTACTCTTTGTGTCGTCAAATCTGTCTGTCTTATCCGTTGTTGGCGTGTGTCTGCCTGTTTGTCTAATGTGAACCAGTCAGTCATCTGTCTGTATGTCTGTCTGTCATGTTAGTTGCCATATTGTCTATTTGTGCATGTATGAATCTGTCTATTTTTGTCAATCTCCTGTCTGTTTCACTGTCTAGTTTCACCCTGTGTAGTCATGTCTGTCTGTCTGTATGTACAGTATGTGTCTGTTATCTTTGTCATTCATAAGTCTGTCTATCTGTTAGTCTTTGTGTGCCCTTGAATATGTCTGTATTACGTCTCTCTCTCTCTCTCTCTCTCTCTCTCTCTCTCTCTCTCTCTCTCTCTCTCTCTCTCTCTCTCTCTCTCTCTCTCTCTCTCTCTCTCTCTCTCTCTCTCTCTCTCTCTCTCTCTCTCTCTCTCTCTCTCTCTCTCTCTCTCTCTCTCTCTCTCTCTCTCTCTCTCTCTCTCTCTCTCTCTCTCTCTCTCTCTCTCTCTCTCTCTCTCTCTCTCTCTCTCTCTCTCTCTCTCTCTCTCTCTCTCTCTCTCTCTCTCTCTCTCTCTCTCTCTCTCTCTCTCTCTCTCTCTCTCTCTCTCTCTCTCTCTCTCTCTCTCTCTCTCTCTCTCTCTCTCTCTCTCTCTCTCTCTCTCTCTCTCTCTCTCTCTCTCTCTCTCTCTCTCTCTCTCTCTCTCTCTCTCTCTCTCTCTCTCCTCTCTCTCTCTCTCTCTCTCTCTCTCTCTCTCTCTCTCTCTCTCTCTCTCTCTCTCTCTCTCTCTCTCTCTCTCTCTCTCTCTCTCTCTCTCTCTCTCTCTCTCTCTCTCTCTCTCTCTCTCTCTCTCTCTCTCTCTCTCTCTCTCTCTCTCTCTCTCTCTCTCTCTCTCTCTCTCTCTCTCTCTCTCTCTCTCTCTCTCTCTCTCTCTCTCTCTCTCTCTCTCTCTCTCTCTCTCTCTCTCTCTCTCTCTCTCTCTCTCTCTCTCTCTCTCTCTCTCTCTCTCTCTCTCTCTCTCTCTCTCTCTCTCTCTCTCTCTCTCTCTCTCTCTCTCTCTCTCTCTCTCTCTCTCTCTCTCTCTCTCTCTCTCTCTCTCTCTCTCTCTCATTACTCATCATATTTAGCACTTTTTCTTCCTTATTAAATAGGTGATTTTAATATGGTATTCTGGGAACTTTAAAAAACACATCCCTCCATTCATACCTCCACCTCTCACTATCCCTCTCTCCCTTCCTCGCTAGCCTCTTAAGGATAATAATGTTTCTTTTCCCTTTCTATCTTCTCCATGCATTCCTGTTATTATCTTTTTATCTCTTCTCCTTTTCCATGTACTGTACAGTCAGCCACAGGAATAAGTATACAGTACACTGTAGCCTCGTAAGGTCCGAAAATGCTCTGGTAACGTTGAAACTGCGCATCCAGAAGCATGATGAAACTCAGCCCCCCCCCCCCCCACCCCCACCTGTTATCTCTAACTATTTTCTGTTTCCTATTTTTTTCTTCTATTTACTCATCTTCCATCCTTTACTAATCCAAACAACATTAAAAAAAAAGAGAAAAAGTGGGGGGGAGGAGGAGCAGGGAGCTGTACGATAACTGCAATCGTCCGGCTGGCAGACAGCGTACAGTGACATCTTTTGCCAGGGTAAATAAAATCGTTAATTAATGCCTTCCTAAAGAAACCATCGACATGGGACCAGGTTTTTTTCACTACGAAATTTTTGCGATTTTTCCACCAAATTTGATGAAAAACGATTGTGCCGTTTCGGCTGCCCAGAACAGATGCATGCACGGCTATTCCTATAGTATACTGTATTAGATTCCTAATTCTATGTAATTTTGTTTTTCCTACAGCGCATTAATGAGAAGCCACAGGTGATCCAGGAGTATGAACAGGGCAAGGCAGTGCCAAATCAGAATGTCCTCGGAAAAATTGAGAGGGCCATAGGTAAGTTCATTGTGCTTTACAAGGCATTATGGTTACATAGTTTAAAACAGTGTGATACAGTACATCCAATTTTTTTATTATTATTTTTTAATTGTATATCCATTACTGTAACATACAATACATGCTTAGCTTGTTATTCTACTTGACCACATAATGAAACATAATCTTCATGCATTCATTTGTTTTATAAACAGATCCTGTAAACTTTTCAGTGTTTGTAGAGATACAGTATCTTCTTTGGTAACTTGTGGATACTGTACCTAAGTACTGTACTTATTGATTATTCACTTACATGAGGCGGTTGAGTTAGGAGATGGAAGTGAATGTACTACACTCACAATGTACACCACCAAGGTGGAATGAAGGTTATGTTTTAACTGCTAGTTTCATTGACCATGTACAGGTACTGAACACTATTTCCATTTCTAAGACATCTCACTTTAGTGCTCTCAGCAACAACCTCCCCTCCTCAGAGGCAGCTGCTGAGTTACCCTCCTGTACCACCACAGTGGCAGCCCCCGCTTTCCTTGAACTTTCCCCATACTGATGTAGAAAGTGCCAAAAAGAGACAGCCATTCTAGGAAGGGTATTTGCCAGGGTTGCTGGACAGGGGTTGTTTGAGTGCATCAAAAGCTTGTTGATACAGTAAAACCTCGATTAACCGACTTTCGGATTAACTGTCAATCCCGAACCCCCCCATTTTTTTTTTTTTTTTTTTTTTTACACGGGGATTAGCCCACCCGGGCACAGGTTACTGATCCACATCGTGGCCTGGGGGTGATAATGTAATAATATTAATAATGATAATGATAATAATAATAATAGTAATAAAGAACCATAAAAAAATGAAAAAATGAAAAAAAAATCAAGAGTGAGAAACAATGTACCTGTATGTTTGTTGTGTTGTCAATAGTAAGAGAAACAATTGAGACCCTGCAATTGTGTGTAAATGAGGCAGAAAGTCAGATCAGCAACCTGGGACTTAGGTCACAATTTTTGTGATGATATATGTTCTTTGACTTTTCCATTTTTTGTTCACAGTTTCTGTGCTGGTTCATATTTATTTACTAAAGTGGTTAATGTTTTAAAGCAAATTCTGTTGAAATATGAGTGGCAAATGAACAAAAATGAATAGAGGGACTTAAATGAGGTAGGTTAGGGCAAGGTACTTTGAAAATGTATGTTTTATATCCGTAGACCTTATGTATTATTAACCGACCTTTTGGATTATCCGTCGGCCCCTTCCCCCCATATGTGGTCGGTTAATCGAGGTTTTACTGTACTACGAAGTCCATAATGTAGGGCACGTTATCATTTGTAAGGGAGGTGAGTGGAGCTGCCACCAAAGAGTAGTGGCAATATTTTCATGTAAATAACCTGCTGCCATGCCCATGAAACTTAGTAAGGCTTTTGGGGAGGCCCAAACCCTAGAATTGCCTTCATGTTTGCTTTCTACGGGTGGCAGTGACCCTGACCCATTATATAACCCAGGGCCCAACTTCACTAACACTGCTGAGATACAAAGTTCATAACTGCCAGGAGATCTGAAGTCCAAACTAATCACTAGGGTGTGACCGTTGCCCTCCAAAAATAAAAAAATGGTCCTACAATGCTGTTAAAAGTTTTGGTGTTGTGTATTTATCTAGGAAACACCCCTGAAAATTTTCTTGGAGATCAGTGCATGTTTGAGCTAGCACCGTCGGCTTTACAAAATAACAAGGAATATTATTATCTAATGAACAAATTTAGTGGAATTTCTTTTACTAGACTTATAAGATATACTAACACCAAGCAAATGATCGATCATATCAATCTTAATACCCCTAAAACAATATTATAGATTAGTACGAAATACAATAATCCCAATAATTGCATTTCTAGGTTCAAAACCCATTTCTCCCAAGGCATACAATGAAAAAAAGAAATACTACTACCCCGCAATGCCTGGAGTGTTTGAGGAGCGCCAGCAGGAGATGGCTGACTTCTTCCGTGAATCTCTAGCCCAACCATTTACACGTGGCGACTACAAGGAGCTGGTAGAGATTTGTCTGCTGCTTGTAACTAAAGGATCCTAGCCAGTGAACTTCACGATGGTCCACCCCGGCGCACTTCACAAAGCAAGGTGGATGGCTAAACTGCTCTATACCCTCAAGATTGTTCTTTTGTCAGGCCAGATCAAAGAGCAGTTTCCCAAAGCCGAGGTTGTGACTAAAAGTCAAATCAGCAAGTTAGAACGGTTTGCTGTGTTCACAGTCGCTGTTTATGTCCCATGGTGGATTGGTTGCCTCGTTCCAGCAAGTGCGCCACTGAATGACTTAAATTTGGTCGAAACCTTGGCTGAATTTGCCCCATATGACGCCACAATATTTGACAAAGCACGTGTGGCACTTGGTAGACACACTTGGTACCTAACTGAGGAGTCGGCCCCACTGGCTTTGTTCTCGTCCCAAGTACAAGAAAGGACAAAAGAGGAGATGAGGAAGGCCCTTCTTTGCCATGAAGGCACTGAAGTTACTAAGAGATTGGGGCTCAATCATGGGGGCTATGGAAAGCCATATCTTCCCCCTGTCCCAGAAAGTGGCACTGCCCTGGTGTCCCTAATTGGGCCTGACTCAAGCCGGTTCTTCACCATTTTAGGCGTGCCCTATCAGTTTCTCCACAGTCCAGCCAGTGAATGGGCGGATCATGACGACTACCTGAACATGAAACGGGTTGTGGACAAGCTTCAGGTTGTCAATGAGGCTGCAGAGCGTGGTGTAAAACTTTGCCATGACTTTCTTAATGTTGCCAGGGATGAGGAGCGCTTTCAAGAAGTCCTTCAAGTAGTTGAAAATGACAGACTCCGCGTTCCTAATCAGCGCAAATGATCATCTGTTTCCGAACAGAAATTATGGTTTCTTGCTCTAGAGAAATAATACCTTGTGAATATATGATAAAACCCTTTAATGTACCATGAGAGAATAAGAATGATTAACTTTTTTGTGTTAGTGATAACAGCTTTTAATTAAGACAGGCAAATGATTTGTGTTAATATCCCTTATGATGGTTGTGTAATCTCATATATAGGCGCGTATGCCGTATACCGGTAAGCAAAATTGCTGGTGCTCACTCAAATATGCATGAATCTTCAAAAAATTTCACTTGGATATTTTTTATGTCAATATGCAACACCAAAATTTTGAACAGCATTGTAGGACAAAGTTGGGGCAACTGTCACACCCTACTAATCACCGTAACAATGATTAACAAATGATTTGTAATTTGCTGTGATTCCCTTAAGAATTCTGGCATTAGTTCGTAAAATGCCAGCAGGTGGCGTGTTTGTTTTCATTTTCTTCTTGGCTAATTGCTGTGACTGATACATATTTAAGTAGGAGACCTTGTAAACCACAACAGAAGACCACATGTTGTGGTCCCCTTTGACAACTTTTATAGATGAGATAGCGCATGAAGATTATCATTAATAATAATAATATTGATCAAAATATTAATAATAATATCTTGTATGGTAATAATAATTCTATAACAAGAATGTTAATAATATGATAAAACTAATAATAATATAATATCATTAATATTATTATTATCATTATTTTGGCCAATCTTTTTTTTAATTCTTGACATAGTTGTTTGGCTTGAGCAAGTAATGTCATCAGCTACACTCTGGAACTACCACTTGCGAAAAACTCAAAGCTATTAACACAGCCGTATGTGTTGGGAGTCTTGGGACCGCATGAGATGACCTTGCCACTCAACCAATATCTAGCCAGAGGATACAGTATTCCTACATCATGGAAGGAATGTTGCAGTAGGTGGTCATTAATGTGTAGAGGATCCAAAGGATCCCTAAACACCCTTTCCTTATGGAGTGCACACTCATGATCTGAAACAATTATTACTGTAGTTTCATCTTCACATGTTCACCCTCATGAGTGATTAGTGACACTTGAAGTACATCTGGCAGCTCTGTGTTTTGGTTCAGGTTGTATAGTAGAGAAAACGGGAGTTACATGACCTTATTTCCGCATTGCACAAGCTTGTGAGACCTCTGGAGCCACCGTATGTTACAAAGAAAAGTAAGCCATTTTAAATCGAGTTGTGGACTTCATAAGTCTTGGGTGAATTACCACCACAGGAGATATGAACTCCATAAGCACTTCCGAATCTCATAACTCATTAGTGAATCTGGGCCCAGGTTGGTCACCATAGCAGCTCCGAGAGAAGAATTTTGCAGATTAGCGGTGAACCCAACGTCGCTAAGTCATCGAAATAGAGCCTCCAGACGAATTAGATGTTCCTCCCAGGTATTTGCGATCACAATTAAATCATTAAGATAGCAAAAGATACCCCTAAGATCCTGAATAGTATTACTCATTACTCTTTGAAAAGTGGAAGAGACATTACAAAGACCAAAAGGCAAAACTAAATATTCAAACAGTCCAAAAGGGATGATGAAAGCAGACATTTCCCATGACCTTTTTTAAACTTATTTGGTCATACCCTGTTTGGAAATACAGTAGGGTCGGGATATGTCGCGAGATAGGGTTCAAGGATGTTCGCCATATATAATTACATGTAATCAGTGGAGAAAATAGGGTTAGGTTCTGGAGGCCATTAAAAGTGACTAAACTTGACTTAACGAGTTTATTATCTTACTAAAGCACCAATGAACATTAGACTCGGGAACACCAGACTCAGGAACACTAGACTCGGCAGCTGACACCATCCCGGGAACACGAGACTCGGCAGCAGACGCCACATTGCCACCCTCACATGACAATCCCACACCTGCATAAATGAACAAACCAAAAATATTAATTTCAGTATTAAATCTTTTCCATTAAGCTTTCCATTATCATCTCTTCACTTTTCACGTCATTAGCAACCCATTTACACCAGACTTAAAAGTTGGAATCTGCAGCAGAGTCGGCTGCTGACTCGTCACTCATGCCGCTCGACTCGCAGCCAGCCACGGTGGTGCCTCTGGTGAGCAAATAACCATTTGTTTGCCATGGCGATAAATTTGAAATATTTCCTGCCTGACTTCCCTCCTGAAATAAATAGATTTATCGCTATATATTGGAAATTGTTGATAATTTTGGTGGTCGCGATATGAATTTTTTTATATAAAAAAATCGGTATATCCGATCGTACTGTATATTTTTTTTACAAATATGCTTTGACCGACTGAGACAATAAGGTCATCTATTAAAGGTAATGGGAAGAATCGGGTCTAGTTAGACTATTTGGGCTTCCATAGGACACAATTCTACATTAAGGAGTACAGTATAGTCTCGATTTACGCGGATTTCCTTTACGCATTTGGTCATTTACGTGGCACCTGGCCAGACCGGCAATTATTAGTTACGCGGTAATTTCCATCATTTACGTGGGAAGTGGCATGGGCAGGGTGTGCACAAGGTCGCCCAGTCAACAAAACATTACCGAGTTCTTCACCCACCACAGCCAGCCCAAGTCAGTGATAGTGAGGATATGGACTTTGAGGGGTTTGACAAAGAGGCCCTGCAAGCCTCTGTGGTGGATAGTGATACAGGTGATACAGGTGAGGGCCATAATCTGCCCTCTGCCTCGGAACCAACCCCCCTTCCCATCCACGTGTACCCAGCCATCTCTTCTGCTAATGTAAGTGTTAAAAAACCTAATATTATTGATATTTCTCGTAAATATTAATTGTGTGTGCATACCATCATAAAATTAAGATGTTATTTTCACTACAACGTACGTATTGCGTCGGAAAAAGGGTAGTCTGGGGGTCGGCCCAGTCTCTATTTTGATTAATCCCATATGTTCTGTTATTTCGTTTACGCGTTTCTCGTTTTACGCGGACCTCCACGGGTTTAATTGACCGCGTAAACCGAGACTATACTGTACTCCTTTATATCTACCAGGGTTGTCCAAAAGGGCATTTGTGAATTTAGAAAAAACAAGGATAATATCTTCTCTTTGAGAAGGAAAAAGCTGGTGTAAATAACATATATCAGAAAGTTTATAGGAATTACACCTTCTTAAATCTTCATTGGTATTTGAACAAGGAAGCTCAACATCTTCCTCTGCATATGGCATTGGTAACTCTTCAGAGGACCATATATTCTGTTAGACATAATGGGTCTCTTTAGACATCCCGCAGACTCTCATCGGCGATATAATTTAAGTACACTACATAAATTTACATGAATTGACTGCATACATTCATGGCGGTGTGGTGTATTATCCATGCGTTCAAAAGGTTCAGTGTATGAGAGACTGTATAGGAGCTGTGGTACTTGCTCTGCAAAGGGGACCCAGGATTAAAGCTTTGAATTTTGACTTTAGAATCAAAAGTGGGCTTAATTTTTGCTCGAGTTGTTAAAATTGTCGAAAGTAATGTTATGTATAACGGTTAATTTTTTCTTCGATAGATCTAGGTACTGTGAGACTGTCTGCTTGGGCTGATCAGGGTGTTCTTTGAGCCATTGACCTTTTCAAATTTTAACTGCTTGTGTATGGGGGTCACCTCTGAGCTGAATAAAATTGTGTGGCATTAGCCAAATAAAATATTGAAAGTGGCTTCCCTGTAGTGAAAGGATTGGGAGGATCCACAAACTTGTTGTCCATACAAAAGCTCAAAGAAGAAAGGAGAACCCTAGGGACTCCTGAATACTTTCTTTGATGGCAAAAAGCAGACTAGTTTGTCTGTTGGCAACATTCAAGGGAACCTTGGGATTTTGGGTGGTAGACAGATGACAAATTATGCATGGATCCAAATTCTTTTAAAACAATAGAAATGAAATTAGACCCACAGTCCGAATTTATCTCATTAGGTATTCCAAACTGAGTAAAGATCTTCAATTAGTGGTTAATTATATTTTTTACCTTAACGGATTTTGGGGGAAAAGCTTCCAGATACCTTGTTACGGGACATAGCAGTAAGTAGGAACTGATGACTTTTCCTCATCTTTGGAAGTGGTCCAACAGTGTCTGTGATTATTTTCTCAAAAGGTTCTCCAACCACGGGAATGGGAGACAGTGGGACTGAAGGTTTTTGGGTGGTTACGTTTTCCAACCTTTTGACAAAAGTGATCTGTATTAATATACAGTAAGCCCTGCTCCCACACAGAATACACACCCATGCTTTTCAGTTTTCATATTTTATAGTTATGTATTATATTTTCTTTATTTCTAAGTCACATTATAGTATTCAAATGATTATTCCACAACTTCATAGTTTCATTACATGTAACAATGGCAACAGGTATAGCCATCTCACAGGCCACAGCTGACAAGCGATGTGTGTTATATTCTGAGTTGTGCTCTTTTTTCTGATTGGCTGTAACAAAACAAACAACTATGGCGATGCATTCTTGGTGGAATTCATTAGTTTTTGTATTGTTAAATTTATTTTAGTTTTAGGCCAAAAATGGGTGGGGGGGGGTACAAACTTGGTAATAAAGAGGCTGCACTCAAGCCACTTTGTAACAAGAACTTCAATTTTCTCTTCTAATGTCATCACTTTAGGCTTTTCTGTACTTTACCATCACGTGGAGATGCATTACCTTTAGAGTCCATACTGTTTAATAGACACTTGAATTCAAATATGGTTGCAGGCCACCCTAACATCCTTAGCGAAACTTCGTCATTGTGGGTCACAATGTGCTCATTGTTTAAGGGTTAACATACATGATTGACAATTTAACTTGAAATGTTTAGTTTTCAGGTTAACGGTTACAAAAAGTGAGATAATGGCCAGGAAAATATCATGAATTAAATTAGTCAGCATCTTTGCCAACAAGCTGTAGCCTGACAAAACCCAGCAGTCACAATTAGAGAGAGAAATTAACTCCCTTGCCCCTGTACACAGCATTACAGCAAGGGTGTTACACAGCATACTCCAACTTAAATAAGAAAAGTGATCAATACTTAATCATTTATAATGTGCACTAGTGTGCTCAGTACCATCACTTTTACATTTGTTGTAAGATATTGTAGGGCAACGCACCTAGTTAGAATACACAATGTTTTTTTTTCTGAATGACGTGAGAGAGCTGTGGAGAACACAAGTGCAAAGGTGGTACTGGCCTGCACTAAACCCAGAAAACAAATGCCTCCATGTTTTCTAGGCTCATTTGTTTGCTAGGCTGAGTTAGTTGGCCACTTACTTCATATCAGAGTATATAAAACTAGTCTATCAGTGCAATTGCCTGGCTTGCAGCATAGCCAAAGACAAAGCATGAAAACCTAACTCTACTAATGAAAATGCAAACTGGATCATTCAAAAAATTTCTTGTTAAATTGAATATACGCTTGTTCATTGAATTTTCGCACCTGAAAACTCTATTCTCTATTGTTAAACTGAATTCTCATTAATGAAGTACTCATTCAGAGACACCTTACAGAAGTGAATTTTAGGGCTTGAGTAAATCGTATTATTTTCAAGTTGGTTTCAGGAACAAGATGTTAAGCCAGGGGACTGTTAGTTTCCTCCACACTGATGATTTTCTTGTGTGTAGAACAGTTTTGTTCATGTGTTGTCAACTGTGGCAACATTTTGGATATTATTGTAGAATCTTGCTAAACAGATAAATTGAGAGGAGGGGTCCAGTGAAGCCATTTTTCCGATAATCCTGATACTGAATCTTTTACCTGAGATATTGGATGTACACTATACTGTAGTCTAAAATATCAGATGATAGTTTGAGGTCAACTCATATCTACATTCCCTGGGTATACAGGGTGTTCATAAATGATCTAAATGATTTGATTCTTTAATATTTCCCATACTAATTAAGATATAAAGCTAGAACCAATTGGCTTATTAGTAATTGGTTTGGTTGTTTACTGACTGACTGATTGATTGACAACTAATTTTTCTAATAGTGCTGGATTGGTCATGATGGACTGATTGCTTGGTCTCCAGGATCACCGGACATTACGCCATTGGATTTCTTCCTCTGAGGTTTTGTTAGTGATGTTGTCACACACATTGAAGTGTATTAAACATGTATGAAAACTTTAATAGTTGTTCGATTGCTTACACATAATTTTAGCTTTAAATCGTATTAGTGTGAAAAACATTAAAGAATCAAATTGTACAGATGTTTTATGAACACCCTGTACATCATCACTTGTGTTAACTGAATTTTTGGTTACTGTTACTAGTGCTAATACTGTACAGTACAGTACTGTATCCTGTAGTAGTTTAAAATACCGTGTATTAAACTTTACTGTACATACTGTACAGGAAGTCCCTAAATTACAAATATCTGACTTCCAAATGCAGTACCAAGGTACCTCATCCACTGCCTAGATTTTACTGGAAATATATTTAATGATTAAATGTTCCTCTCTTTCTTCTCCTTCTGACTTAACTGCAAGCGTCATCTCTGGTTTTTAGGGCTACGCCTTCGTGGAAAGGACAAAGGCCAAGCTCTACAGCCTCCTGGGAACAAGAAGAAGTAACAAGAAGCAGACACTGCACTTCTCTTGCTTTATTCAGAAGTCTTGCACATGCAACTGAGCAATTCCCTAATGTTCACCTTTTTTGTTCTTTTATTTATTTTTTTATTATTATTTTCTTTTTAAGCTGAGTTTTCTATTTTCCCTGGAAAGGAAAGACTGTTACTTGTTAATGTTGGAAACATATGCAATTCTTATAAACATGCACTGCACTTGAAGGATATTTTATGCTTATAATGGATTCCTTATGTGTTAATACAATGTTATTTCTCTAAACTGTATATGTAATTTGTTCTGTAGGTTACCTCTGTACCATCATACAAGGAAATCTGAGTAGAAAGTTTTTTTTTGCTGATCACGTATTATGTGTGCATACATTAACTTTCTCGGTGTCAAACTCTTCAGAAGGACTAATTTGTTTTCATTCTTCTAATGTTTCCATGCAATTTAATGGCATATTTGGGAGCTTCTGACTACCAAGCATTTAATTGTTTGCAAACAAAGACAGGTAATGGTAAATTAAGGAGAAATAAGTTGAAATGTCATTTGATCTATACTTTTATCCATTTGGCATACTTAATTGTTAAACTTTTTTCAATTTTCTAAGGTGTATGCTGAATAAAACCCTTTAAGTACTTGCACAGTAGTTTTAAAAGGCTTGCACTTAACTATATAACCTTGGCAAAAATAGAGGTACAGGTAGCTAAGGAGTCAATATTATTTAACTGATACTCTAAATTCAAACTCATTCAAAGGTGTCTCTGTCTTACAATGGCTAATTCAGATGGACACCACATGGATGAGTAACCACATAGAGAATATTCCCCAAACCTTAAGTCAAGGACCATATCTTCTTTATTCAAGTGTTCTAGATTTGTAGAATAATTCTGTATATTTGTATGACTGTCATATATAGTAGGTGAATCTTTATTCATGTGCTCACACATAGATTTAATGTATGGAAATACAGTATAGATAATTGACTATACAGTACAGTACACCATAAACAAGTTGGTAAGTCTAAAAAACTAAAAGTATTACATAAAACATATACGTACAGTATAGTATCAAGTTTTCCATGAATGTATAGTATACAGTACACCTGTAACTAAAAACTGCCAAACAACTTAGTAGTGCTACATAGTGAATGCAGCACAAGGATAAAAACATCCATCTACAGGTGTAGGAAGAAGTGCATTCCCATTGCTTATCTCGGGAAACAAGTAACTTTAGCCAGCAAGTTAAGGGGCCCCTAAAGCACTGCTGCCCCTTAGAGAGGGAGCCTGGGGGTGTCATTGCCCCTTGGAGGTTCCCTGGTGGCAGTTGTTTTTGCACTATTTAAAATTCTGGGAGATATGATGTTAAATAAATACACCGCCTATCCCATTTCCAGTATCATTGCATCCTGAACAATGAAAAGGAAAATAAATATCAAACAGGAAAACATAAGTTGGGGTGTAGTGCTGACTGATTGCCCTGTTCTCCTCTTGGCTGTAATTTGGTGGATTTACATTTTAGTCCACCAATCATAGTTCAGCAAGGTACTGTATTGCTGGACATATGCAATATGTACGACACCATGATCTTTACCCTGGGAGTGCCCCCTAGGGGCACCACCGCCCAAATATAGTTCATAATGGCCAGTGTTAATACAATACAAAGATACAGAGCGGTGAAGGTGAGGAGTGGGAACGTCTCATCCCTCAGAAAACGATACCCTGACCTCCACCACAAAGTTGTGACTGAGGACATCGATATTGTGTGTCTGCAGGAGTGTCTCGCACCTAATGGTAAGCCCCCACCCTTATGTGTATTATGATCCAAGTTCTACTCACACATGTTTGATGTATGTTAAGAATTTTTTTTTTTTTTTTTTGTAGTGTGGCCTCCATCCTCCCCCAATAGTCACTACCGCATGTACCTCTTGTATCCAAAAAGGACTACCAACCTTCAGTACCATGGGATCACTATCCACCTGGGCAACTCCACACTCAACATGCTAAATGCCTATGCTCCCTCATATCAGCTTCAATACACAGGTCTCCCAGACTTTTTACACACTGAGCCCACTGTCCTGATGGGTGACCTGAAAACTGGACATGAGAAATTAGGTAACCCCACCACTAACACCAATGGTAGGAGACTTATCTCGCTTCTCAGCACATATAAAGATGGTCAAATTATAGGTTATAATGAACCAACACACATCTATGGTGGGGCTCTAGACAAGTGTATTGGTTTGAATCTATCATACACAACTCATAGCTCTGATGTTGTCACTGATCTTATGTCTGACTGCAGCCCAATCCAAGCTAGTTTACATGTAGCCAATGATACCCCCACTGGCGGTAAACTCAACAGAAGTAGAATCACAGTCAAGCAAGAACATGAAAGCCAATTCATAGATTTCCTCCATGACTGGTACAAGGACTACAAGCCTGATAACTACCAAAGTTTCCATGACGATCTGATAGATAGGATTTATACATACTTCACCAACAATGCCTGCACCAAAAAAAGGAGAAAACGTGGTCAGCATCATGGGAACAGGCAGCAGCAGTGCTATGATGACCCTAAACTGAAAAAACTCGGGGTTAGAGTCAGGTGGGTGGGTAAGGGTTAAAAACAAATTAGAACACCAAGTGTATCAAGCCTCCCTTGCTGCTGCCAGGGAACGTGTAAACGAATTCAGACAAAATGCATGGGAGACATATGTCAACAGCCTGAACCAACACACATCCCTCGGCAAAGCCTGGAAAGACATAAACACAATCAGAGGTAAAAACAGTAGACACGTCTCCCATCCAAACCCTCTGCAAAAGTCGAATGAGCTAATAACAAAGTGGGCTCTTATCTCCAGCTATGACATGTTACCAACTAGGACTCGGGGACTCCTTGATGCGAACTCTGTAAAGAGAAGTAATTTTATTAACTCTATGCTGGGCAAACAGCACGATGAGTGTGATGTTCCATATACTGAGTGGGAGCTTGACGCCACCCTCGCCAAGGGTAGGTCTACAGTGTACTTCCCCTGGAGAGGGCGGAGTCACCTACAACATCGTTAGACTACTAAGGCGCGTGCCGGGCAATACATTATTGGTGTTGTACTATACGAGTCATGCCGAGGGCCAACTACCCACATTATGGACCAGCAGTATTGTACCAATACTGAAACCAGGACAGCCTGATGCTTTTTGTCCCATATCACTAACCAGTTGCCTGTGTAAAACCTTTGAGAGGATTGTTCTTGGCAGACTCTTATATAAAATCAGAGAACACATGTCTCCTAACATAAATGGCTTCACCCATGGTAAAGGTGTACATAATTGCATCACCACATTCCTAACTGTGCATGGTAATGAAAGGCACAGATACACAACATTTCTTGACCTAAAAGCTGCATTTGATATTGCCAATAGGCAACTGATATTGTACGAACTAGCCAAAATGGATATAGGATGTAGGCTTGTTACACTGGATAAGTGGTTACCTAACCAACAGAAGGGCTGCTGCACTATTTCAGGGTTACAAAAGTGAAGTTAAAGGTATCATTAAAGAAATCAGACCAACACTGCCTGATTTGAAGCACGAAGAACAAACTTGCTGATGGCATCCAATTCCTCCACAGGGGCCATGGACCCCCCACTGAGTTGTAGTGAACCTCGTATCCAAGGCACCCTGGGGAGCAGGGACACACAGGAGGCGGATATGTAGGAAGGCGTCAGCATTTGGCCACTTGTTGAGCTGCAACCAGCGCTCAGTTGAGCACCTCCATGACAGGAAGGCCGCTGAGCACATTTCTCAGGCGCAGTGGCTGTAGAGATTCGTGGCTGAGATGACTGGCGTGGGGCTGACATCGACGCAAAACTTGCCTGCAGCGAGACGATGGCTTGCTGTTGAGACATCAGCACTGACTGGGCTTGAGCCAGAGTCGCCGGTGTTGTTGAAGAAAGGTGGCCACGGCGGGTTTTGGGTGAAAAAACGCGATAAACGCGATTTT